AAAGACAAAAATGGAAGGCACTCAGGGCAATTGTTCAAATCGTGATAGAAAAAAACAAATCTGGGAGACCACATTATAAGATCCGATGTGTCTGAGCTGCAGACCAGACTCTGGTGATTCTGTACACCCCATAAACTCCTATTTATTTTTTGTTGGTTAAACAGTGGCCTTGTACAGTCCGTGCCTCAAGAAACTTAAGCTGACTCCCCACTTACTCCCCAATAGTACTTGAGCTTCAGTGACACTTGAGCTTCAGCCCCATCTTCTCCCCCAACTAGCTAGCTCAATGATAAAGCCACTTACCCCGAGCTGGAGATTTGTGTGTGGGGATGGGAGTTGGGTTACAGTGATTAACACTCAAGTTATACCTTGAACTAACAATGCGGTGGCAACATTTCCTCTTAGTCTATGGGTTTGGTCTTGAGAGGCATTAAAGACAACCAAAAACTGTGGGTGCTCAGCACATATGGGCTTAGCCCTAAAACAGAGACAACCAATTAAGTGCAGACACAGGCTACATTCAGTAGATTCAGTATCACTGCACTGGGGGGGAGGAGAGAGGGGGGATTGTTTGTGCGTTTTCCCATCTTACTGCTGGATCATCGTTGCAGAAGAAGTGAGTTTCACCCTAACCTTTGACACTAACCCTATGTGAGCCATTTAGGGCTTCAGTCACCCAGCTGTCCATAGGTGCTGATAAAAGTATCATTCAACAAGTGCAGCAAGATCTAGTGGACAGTCTATATGGATAAGGATAACATGAAGCATTAGGTTGTTTCCTAGGAAAGGAGGCACAGCTATTCTGAGTATCAACTAAAGCTGCTTATTCACAGGTTCCCTGTAAAATATGAAACATCATAGATGAAATGCTTAAAATGGGTGTTTAAAGAAGAGAGCACAACTAAAAACATTTACATAATCTTTAAAAATTAATATTTGTAAATAATACCTGAACATCTGCTGGCTTGAGTGAGGTCACCGGCATGGAGAGAACTCCAAAAGGGTCAGAAAAAATGAAATCTATTTTAGGACGGAAGGAGGCTGCATAGAACATTAGTAAAGCACCAATCTTTGTCATTATCACTTTACCCACTAGCTGTAACTAATGGGTTGACATCAGGCGAGACTTAACTATGACAGTTGGGCTGTTAATAACACAATTTACATAACGTCTGCTCTAGCGCTTCACAGTGATAACTTTTCTTGGGTACTTCACCTTCCTTCTGATATTCTTCCCCAATCTCTCCTCGTATAACTCTTGCTCATTTTTCTCAGGTTTTACAAACATGCTACATGACACATGATTTCACTACAATCTAATACTACTGCCTAGGTTCCTTGTGAAATATTTATATTTGGGTTTTTGCTGAGATGACAGTCATCATTTTCATTTGGAAAAAGTTATAGGCCTGATTCACAGTATGTTACTCTGCTCTTTTGCCTGATTCTTTTTTACACTAAAGCTCCTTTACAACACTCTGGAAGTGTAAAAGGGCCTTACAGTGGGCACAGATTACAGTTACACCCAGTGTAAAAGGGCCTTAGCTTATATGAGATTATATGAGAATGAGGCCCCATTGATTTCAGTTTTACACTGGTATAACTCTGTTGGAGTGATGCAGTGGTGAATGAGGCCCTATGATTTTATTATATATAACATTACAAAAGAAAAATATATATCCAGTTAATTTACTCTACTTTTTTCCTAATCTTTTTCTATATGATTTATTTTAGGTCACTAGAAATATACACGACAAGATTTTTGATACCACAGGAACCTAAAACATCCAGTTGCTGTCACAAAGTTGTCTGGTTGCATTTGATTTGTGCTTACATAGCGGACAGTCTAATCTAATTAAGTTGTTGCCAAGGTTTGTTCTTAGCCATACACAGTTAAACCCTGTTCAGCTGCACCCATTTGCTGACACCCATTGTCAGCCTTGGGTAATTTTGCTAATTCAAAGAAGACCTTTGTGAGAAGTCATTGTTTTCAGCAGAAATTACAGAAACATGGTCTCCCCACCCATCCCCCGCCTCCCGCCAAGATGCGTTCAGAAACTCATCTCTGAAGCTGAAAGTGCAATTTTCTGAAACTTCTGCAAATGCAGCTTCCAAATAGTCTGCTCATTAAGTTGATGAACGTTGGGTTGAAACTGCAAAAACTGCTTCAGGTTTTTAGGATCTTGCAGGATTGTGTGTGTTTTTTTTAAATACTCTATTAAAATGGGTAAAATATTTAAAATACACTGTATTAGAGTTACAAGAATGTAAACACGCCTTCCTTTATTTTGGTGTGAAACTTGCAAAGAAACAACTCTCTCAGGCTCTGGGCACCCTGATAAAATATTAAAAATACAACAACAGAAGGAAATACAATATAAAAATAGCAGCAGATCCCATAAAACCTAGCCCTTCGGCCCAGAGCACAACAAAATGTCTGCCCTTCAGCCTCCCCACAACCCTTCCACACCAAATACATAGCAGCCCAGCCGTATGCCCAGCTAGAAAGAACATCCCCTGGAGATCACTTGATTCAGGCTATTTCCGACCAAGTGAGGAGAACGGATCCAAAGTAGAGGGCCTTGCTCAGGAGAATACCCTACCAGCCGCTCCCTCTTGTATAAAACAAGGAGATTCCAAGCCAAGCCATAGTCTTCATCCACACTTGTAGCAGTACCACGAGAGAGAGTCAGTGCTGTACTGTCTACTTCAAGTGTTCAAAAATCATGAGGCTAGCTTGAAAATCCTAAGATTTTTAACTATAAAAGATGCTTAATTCTTTATTTGCATTCCAGTATCTGAGCCTTTAAGGTGCACTTAGATCACGTTTGCAGGCTTTTCTTTCCTACCACAGTGGCTAGACGCTTACTGCCTTTTTTTTTTCTTCCATGAAAGCGGAGATTCTCATGTAAACACATGACTCCAGAAGTTGGGGTTTTAAGTAAAAACAGCAAATGTCATGAGACTCAATAAAATCATGAGAGCTGGCAACACTCAGGTCTCAGGCAACGTAGAGCTTTTAAGGTCAAAATCAACACTTTCAACTCCGTTTGGAAACCTACAGGCAGCCAGTCAGAAGTCCAGGTCATGTGCTGACAGTGAAATACTCCACTTAACCAAGAGGCTGCTGCATTATGTACTCATTTCAGGTTCTGAACAGAGCTACAATACAGCATCTGCTTACACAATAGATTTGCTAGCTGAGTGTATCCTGAACTATTACTTGTAAACTGCATAAATTTGATCTGGAATCATTGGGAGATAAACATGGGTCCTACAGTGACATTTTACGTTCTGTTTTTGGAATACAACCATACTTAATGTTATTTTTGTCTACTTTCCTTCTGATGTTTAATTAGCATTTTAATATAATACTGAATAATATGGCTATGATTACCAACCACTGCAGTCACAGCAAGACAGGAATATAGATTACAGTCAGCACAGCCTTTCAGATTATGTGTTCTAATGTGAGCATGTGGTAAATACATGTCTGTGCTGGAGTTCTTTGCCCTTGTTTCCTCTGGTAATATTGTGCCATGTTGTGTCAGGAATGCCTGGCCTGTTTTGCCTAAATTATCAGTACAGTGTGTCTCCATTTTAAAGGCAGTTCACACAGCCATGCGTATCTGAACTTGCCCTCCTCAGTCCTGGGAGGGTCGTTAGCAGCACAACCCCAGGTGGTTTATTTTTTCCAGTTTTAGCATTTTACTTCTGCCCTTTCATTTTCATCAGTAGTGGGATTCAGCCAACCCAAACCTTTCAGCACCAAAACACAGCCCACAGAACTCCTGTAGCTATAGATAAGTAATAGGCTTGTTATAATCACTGAAGCCAGCCATCAGAGGGGATACATCATTGCATGCATGCAGCCAGTGTTTTACACCACTGCTTCCTGCTTGGAAGCAGGAGAAGAACAGATATCCAGGAAAGCTGCTGTTCCAGAAGCAGCTACAGGAGAACTTCTATAGCTAAAAACCTTTACCTCTTGTCCTCCCTCCTTTAAGGACCCTGCATTAAGGAGGTGGAGGACTGACGCTGACTTACAGGGCTAGGGAATCAGTTTGAGTAGTGGAGCAGGGCAAAATACCAGAACATTCCCAATTTTTAGGGACATGTGATCACCTTAGCCTGGTAGCCACTTGAAAGAGGACAGGATCTGCTTTCCAGAACCCAATTGTCTGTTAGGAAGACTGGGGGGGGGGGGGGGGGGGGGGGCATCTTTGATCTGCTGGCTCCTGATATGTGGTGGCAGGAACTAACTTTCTGCCCTCTGCAGCAGCTTCTCCCCTCATCTGCTCTTCTTTTTCCCCCATAGCTTGTCTGGGTTAGACCCAGCTATAGGGAGGATTACTTCAGGGCTGACATTGCCACTGCTGCCATGACTGACATCTGCAGTAGTGAGCAGGGATCATCCTTTAGCATCAAGAGGGTGGCTCCTAAGCAAATTCCTGTGGTTGATGGGTTGGGAAAAGGATGGAAAGGTATTGGTGGGCCTGGTTCCTCCTCCTCCTATGTCATTGTACAAGGTTATGAGAAATCAGGTTTACAGCCTGACAAAACTATTCCAGTTCTTCTGTGAGCATGCAGAGTGACCTGGCTGATGATTTATCTGTTTAATTATTTTATAATTTAATCATGTCAACTCAGAAGCTCATCATGAGCCTTTTTCACAACTAGAAATAAACATCCCACTAATAACTGTAGCTGTTCTTCCCTTCTAGACACAGTTACCAAGCAGAGTGAAATATTATTTAAGAAAAGGTCCAGATCCATGCTCTTGGAAGCACTACTCAGCTGAAGGAGAGTTTAGCAATAGAAAGGAGTCTGTCTGTTCTCTTGGAGAACTGGAGCCCATAGTCTGCTACAGTTACCTTGAAGTATCCACTGAAGGTATTGGAGCTCTTTTCACCTTACACAGAGGTAGGAGAGAACAATCTGGCTCAGAGATATTTTCCCAAAACAAATGAACTGAAAAATAGACAGAACAATATTCCTACCTCCAAAAGCCGGCCTCATGGTGAAATCATGATCATCGACTCTCAGAAGCTGTTCGGTTTTTGCTTTCCGAGTTTTGGTCATATCATGATTCTTCTTGTAGATGTGGCTGTAAAAGATTAACAAAAGGGCTGCCTGTCACTGAAGATCTGTAATCACTGTACCCGAAGTGACTCTAAAAGATGACATCTTAGTGGATGAGAGTTATTTTGTCTCACTGGTTTCCATGCTATGTTAAGGAGTTGCAATATGAATGGTAGTTTTGTCTGGGCAGCTCCCCACTGCCAGAATTACCATGAGAGCAGGAGGGCTTCTGGGCATGGTGGCAGGGGAGGCAGCATGGAGGAGACCAGGAAGACCTGCTGCAGCTACTAGCATGGAATTACCATGCATACAGTCCACAGCCATATTTTTAATGTCCATTTCTAAGTCTAACAAGGTTTTCTCAGCTGCCAGCCCTGCAACTTCAGCATGGTCTCTGAGAATCAGGCTGTGCTCTTTCTACTTCAGATACGATTACTGTCAAAAGGATTCTAGAATGAGAGTGTAGCAGGTAATTTTGCTGAGGATGCTCAAGGTAGACTAGGAAGCACTTGCTTTTCTGCTGCTACATTGTTTCTTTTGTGCTGACTATAGTAAAAATAGGGCTTGATCCAAAAACTAAACTGATGTGACCTGGACTTCAAACAGGTCTGCCCATTATCAAGGTGAGTGAGGTAATATCTTTTATTGGATCAACTTATGTTGGTGAAAGAGACAAGCTTTCAAGCTACCCCTGACCTGAAGAAGAGCTTTGTGTAACTTAAAAGCTTGTCTTTCTCACCAACAGAATTTGGTTCAATAGAAGATATTACTTTGTCTCGCTAATATCCTAGAACCGACATGGCTACAACAAAACTTCATACAGTAGCAAGGTGATATTATTGTAGATTCACTTTTGTCTGACTATATTTATGCACTGTCATATGATGCTCTCAGTCCACTGCACCAATGGGAGCTGTGCATGTGGACTGGGGGGAGCTTGTTTCCCATAAACCTTTGTAATGTATAACCAAGTAGTAATAAAATCACTCCATTCCCTCCAGGGCATTAGTATTGCATTGTTCTCTCTCTACATGAAGTCTACCTTGATTCTTAGTCCTCCATTGCCCTGTACAGCAAATGAGAAAATGAATTCATTTTTCATTCAGATATAATGGAATATACCACAAACTAGAACCACAGTAAGGAGATAGCAACAAGCCCCTGAATAAAGGGTGAAAAAAATTAACCAACCGGCATACGCTGGGAATTCAATTATAGTCCTGTCAGCTAACTGTCCCATGCACCTCTAAGAGGAAATCTGATTCTGCAATCACAACAATTCCACATCAATATAGGAGGAAGGATTAGAATAATTAAGAACCCTGAACCCCTTTGCCCTGAAAGTCAGACTTTACAAGATTTAAATACTGCTGCAATTAATGATCAGAGAGTTACTAAGAAAATAAAAGGGGTAAGGCAGGACAGTTAAATCCATTTGTTTGGGGGGGGTCACTGGTTGGTAGAGGCAGAACTCGAGTGGAGGAATTGGAATTCTATGTTGGCAATAGCGAATGCAAGAAAAAAAAGACACCAAATGAGGTTGAGAAGTTTCCAACAAAAACCGAGCTTAAAAATAAACATATGAATAATCCACTGAAATCAGTAAAAAGAAAAGGAGGACTTGTGGCACCTTAGAGACTAACAAATTTATTTGAGCATAAGTTTTCATGCTTTCATGAAGTGAGCTGTAGCTCACGAAAGCTTATGGTCAAATAAATTTGTTAGTTTCTAAGGTGCCACAAGTCCTCCTTTTCTTTTTGCGAATACAGACTAACACGGCTGCTACTCTGAAACCTGAAATTAGTAAGAATCAGGTCTATGGGTAAAAGTGTTTCTCGACATGTGTGTTAAATACCGGTGTCATCTGTTTGCATATAAAGTTAATTAGGGCATGATGATGACCAGGTGGAAACACTGGACAATTGTCTGTGCTCAGTTACAGATGTGCACAACTCCATGCTGCTCTTATTAAAATCAGCTACGCTACTACAGGGTACCAAATGTTGCACCTATTTTGAGAAAGGCTGTAGGGCTGATCTAGGGAATTATAAACCAGTATAAGCCAGTATACTTCATTGGGGGTATATTGGTTGAAATAATAATTATAAACAGAACTATTAAACAGTTAGATGAACATGATATGATAGAGCCAAACCAGCATGGCTTCTGTAAAAGAAAAGGGTGTCTCTCCAATATGTTAAAGTTCTTTAAGTGTGTCAACAAAATAGTGAATTAAAGAGAATAGCTAATAAAATTGATTTGGGTTTTCAAAAAGCCATTGACAAAGTCTCTCACCAAGGGGGTGTAATAAGGAAATTAAGTAATCATAGGATGAAGTGTAAAATACCATTATGGATTGGAAACTAGCTAAGAGGCAGAAACAAAGCAGGAATAAATGATGGATTTTTACCATGACGAAAGGCCAGCAATAGGGTGGCCCAAGATCTGTACCAGGACCAGTGTTATATAACACCTTTATTAATGACTTGGAGAAAAGGTGAACAGAGAGGTGGCAAAAGTTGTAGTTGACTTGAAATTATTAAATTACTCATGATTAAAGAATTTGGCCCTTTTTGGAGAATTGCCACACATCTAAAAGGAGCATAATATGAAAATATTAGGCCTGTATATAAATCAGTGGTAGAGCCTCACTAGGGATATTGTGTTAATTGCTGATGACCCCATCACAAAAAGGGGATAGCAAAATCAGAGATGGACAGCAAGAATGATTAAGGACATGAAAAACTCTCATATCAAGCAAGACTGTGAAAGGAGGTAGATAAGAGGATACATGATAAAAGTATACAAAAAATAAATGCTTTAGAGAAAGTAGATTGGGAACACTTAGCCTCATAACACAAGGACAAGCTACCATTGAGGCTAAGAGCTTAGCAAGATTCAAAAAAGGATTTGACATTTATATGAACAAGAAGAATATCCAGAGTTCTAACAAACAGGAGTTTTGATAGGACTATAAAGCCAAACAGTAACTGTAGGGGTTAGGAGGAAACTTTCCCTGGAGGAACGTTACCTCATAACTGTCTGCTTTAGGGTTTATTATTATTTATTATTATTGAACTTTCCTCTGTATAAGCCACTATTGGAGATAAGATACTTGACTAGATGGACCACAGTTCTGATCCAGTAAGGCAATTCCTGTGATCCTCAGGTACTGCACACTGGGAAGAAGAATCATAACAATTCATACACAGTACTAATTCTGATTAACTTTAACTGCTCAGGAGAAAGACCTGAGCGTCACTGTAGAACTGCTCAATGAAAACCTTCTGCTCAAAAGATACGAGTAATCGAAGTAGAATGTTATGGACAATACTGACGATATTATAATGCCACCACCTAAATAAATGATACACCCTCACCTGGAATACTATATTTAATTCTGGACACTCCAGCTCACACAGACAAAGCAGAAATAGATGGGTCCAGATATACACAACCAAAATGATTAGAGGCATAGAAAGACTCCCAACATGAGGACAGATTGAAAAAACTGACACCATTTACTTTAGTGAGGAGATGAGAAAGAAGGGACATAGCAGAGTTATAGAAAACAAAGAATACTAGTGAGAAAATCAGCTGGGTGCTCTCTATTTACATTTCTCAAAATATTTAAAACAAGGAGGTACTGAATGATATTAAAAGACAACAAATTTAAAACTGACAAAAGGATTTTAAAAAAACCCCACAAACACAGCACCCACGGAACTCAGATGCAAGTATTTTAGGGCCAGAAGGGACTGTTGTGATTATATTGTCTGATTGCCTGCATTATGCAGACGATAGGATTTCACCAAGTGGTTCCTGCATCAAGCCCCTAACTTCTGGTTGAGCTGAGGAATAAATTCAGTGTTTGCTCATAATTGTTCTTGGCTTCAGGAAGTGGCCCTTTTAAAGTGCCAAATTTTATTTGTTTATTTTATATATATATTTTTTTTTTTTTATATATATATATATATAAAAAACTATAACTGGTCAGAATTATATTCTTATTAGCACAAGAAACACTGAGACCAAGAGCTTAGAGGGATTAAAAACAAAAAAACTGAAACAAGCAAAAATAAAAAAAGGGGTTTACATTTATATGGATAATAAGAACTTTCAAGAGCTACATTGGATGAGATTTTAAAAAATTAGAAACATAAGCCCTCAAACTCCAAGGCATAAGCCAATCACTGATAGGGTAAAAAAAATTCTCTTTATAGGCAGTATAGTTCATAATTGTCTATTATTGGTTTTCTTGCACCTTCTTCTACAGCATCTCATGCTGACAACTGTCATGACAGGATATCGGTCTAAATGGACTACTAATCTGATGCAGTATAGCACTGCCTATTACCTATTTCTTAACATGATTCTGTTGAATATGATATTAGTTTAATATGCTCAGTGAATACCTTCCTGGTCTCCAGTACAGTTTCTGAAAACCGCTAAATAAAGGCCCCATTACCTTTCCAGAAAAGGTAAAGAAAGCTGGAGAAGACAATACACTTTGTAAATCCAATACAAAAGAAATACGAAGAGCTTGTCTTCACTACTGGAATAAGTCGACCACAATTACGCTACTCCAGCTATGTGAATAACGTAGCTTAGGTCGACTTATCCCGGTGTCTTCACTGCACTGCATCAATGGGAGATGCTCTCCCATTGACTTACCTTAATCTTCTCGGGGAGCTGGAGCACAAGGGTCGACCAAAGAATGCTCTGCCATCGATTTAGCAGATCTTCACTAGACCCACTAAATCAACCCCTGCTGCATCGATTGCAGCGCATCAATCTCCCAGTAGTGCAGACCAGCAATCCTAAAATCAGTGCCTCCTATTTTTCTATATAACAAAGTGCACCACAATTACAGATGTACAGCGGAAGCTAAATGCAAAATGGAGCAGAATGTACTAAAAAAAATACATGGCTATCTGTCATAACTACGAACTATCTTGGATTGGCATTCAAAATTTAATATCTCCTTTACTATGTGTATATGTCTTTTGCAGTGCTGGGTCTATA